TCTCAATGGTTCCATCAGGCTCTATCAGACCAGCAAACCTGGTCCTTTTTTTTTTTTTTTTATGATTTTGAGTTTTGTTCCACGTTGTTCTCCCACTCTATCCAGGATCTCCTATAGATATCCCCCTCTGAGTGGTTGACAGTGGTAGCTGGGCACCATCTAGTTCTTCTGGTCTCATAGTCATATAGGCTGAAGATCACATGGCGTATCAGTCTCTTGGACTAATTGTTTCCATGTGTCTTTGGTTTTCTTCATTCTTCTTTGCTCTGGACGAGGAGAGACCCATTGTTGCATCTAGATGGCTGCTTGCAAACCATCACTTCTCGCCAAAGTAGGATGTGGAACAATGTTTTTGTGTAGTATGTTATGCCCATCAAGCTTGATGTCCCCTGCCACCATGGTCCTGAGCCCACAGGTCCAACTACTTGCTCCCTCTGGGTAGCTGGCTGTGGCCAAGAAGTGATTACAACCTTGTCCCTTGTCAGCTCTACTATATACCTGGGAATTCTTACAAAACATACAAAGACACTTATAGAAACATTGTCTTCCAACTCTATACATGGTCTTGGGTACACTCCCCCCTGCATAGACATACCTAATAGTTTAGCCTGTGCACCCATCTATGCGCCCATATATCAATGATTGCCTTCCCTGACAATGCAGTACTGTATATGCAAAAGGCTTCATCTTTGCTGCATCTCTCCCACACACCTTTCTATGTCTTCCTCTTCCTCAGTGTCACTGTGCTGATTACTCATATTTGGTATATTGCCCTTCTCTTCACCCTCTACCTATCTAACAGTGTTTCTACCCCTCCCCTCCCCTCCCACCCCTGGTAACCAACAAAGAAAATTTCCTTCCATATATAAACCTTTCCTTGACTTTTTACAATAACAGACTAATACAATGTTTGTCCTTCTATGATTGACTTATTTCACTCAGCATAATGTCCTCCGAGTTCACCCATATTATGCAGTGTTTTGCCAATTCTACATTATTCTTTAGGGTTGCATAGTGTTCTATTGTGTGTATGTACCATAGTTTGGTTATCCATTCTTCTGTTGATGGGCACCTAGGTTGTTTCCATCTTTTGGGTATTGTAAATAGTGCTGCAATGAACATGGATGTGCATATATTTGTTCTTGTCCTGGCTCTCACTTCTTTAGGATATATACCTAGTAATGGAATTTCTGGGTTAAATGGTATTTCTAATTCCAACTTTTTATGGAATTGCCATTCTGCTTTCCACAGTGGTTGTATCATTTTACAGTCCCACTAGCAGTGTATGAGAGTCCTAATCTCTCCACATCCTCACCAGTATTTGTTATTTTCTGTCTTGTTGAACTTTGCTACTAGTGCTGGGGCAAGACGGTATCTCATTGTTGTTTTGATTTTCATCTCTCTAGTGGCTAATGAGGAGCTCTGGTAGTGTAGTGCCTAAGGCACTTGACTGCTAACCAGAAGGCTGGTGGTTCAACCCCACCAGCTACTCCTCGGAAGATGGGGCAATCTACTTCCATAGTGATACTGCCTCGGAAACCCAAGGAGGGGTCACTATGAGTCGGGTCTAACTCGAGGGCACATAACAACAACAACAGTAGCTAATGATCATGAGCATATCTTCATATGTTTGTTGGCTGCCTGAATATCCTCTTTGGTAAAGTGTCTATTCATGTCTTCTGCCCTTTTTTTAACTGGATTTTTTTTGTCTTTTTGTTATTTAGGTGTTGAAGTTCTCTATAAATTCTAGAGAAAAGTCCCTTGTCAGATATGTCATTGCTGAATATTTTTTCCCTATGTGTAGGTTCTCTTTTGAGTCTTTTGGTGAAGTCTTTGGAAGCACATAAAAATTTAATTTTGAGAAGGTCCCATTCATCTAGTTTCTCTTCTGCTGTTTGTGCATTTTGGGTTATGCTTGATAGTTTATTTCTGCCATAAATTAGGGCCCCTAAAGTTGCCCCTAGTTTTTCCCTAAGGAATTGTATAGTTTTTGGTTTCACATTTAAGCCTTTGATCCATCTGGCATTAGTTTTTGTGTATGGTGTGAGGTACAAATTTTGTTTCATTTTTCTGCAAATGGATATCCAGTTTTGCCAGCATCAAACAGACAATCTCTTCCCCCATTTAAGGAATTTCAGTCAAAGATCAGCTGACCATAGGTCAATGAATCTATTTCTGGGTTCTCAATTCAACATGACGATGTTTTAAAAACTTAGTTGCTAGTGGTAAATAATCCTGGCATTACAGGAAAGAACTCCTAGAAGCAGAGTATTTGGTAGTTACAGTACCAACTATGACTATTGTCATCACTGGAAATTGCTTTTATTTCATATTCACTTATTAATTTTAATTTTCTATTTAGTGAATATTTTGAAGAGATGTAGAGCTCATTTCAATATTTAGAAATGTCTAATGGAATGTAATAGAGTTCTGGTGGCCTAGTGCCTAAGGCATTTGACTGCTAACCAGAAGGCTGACAGTTCAAACCCACCAGCCATTCCTTGGAAGGAAGGTTGGGCAATCTACTTCCATAGTGAGTCTGCCTCGTAAACTACAGGAGGGGTCCCGGTGAGTTATGATTGACTCCATGGCAGTGAGGTTTTTTTTTTTTTTTTTTTTAATGGAATGTAAACACAATTAACTTAAAAGAAAGAAAGAAAAAAGTCTTTTACATGGTTTTACATGGTTTCCAAAACATTTAGAACTTCATGTAGTTGAAATTATAGATTAATGCTGTATTTACCAAGACAGGGATTATGGGGTTCCCCCTAGGCTACTAAAAGCTGCAGGATGAAAATGCAGCCTTTTCATATAGTGTTGATTTTAGTCAGAGATTTTGGGAAAAGGCATTTTCATACTAAAATAAACACAAATATATTTTGGAACAAATTCTTATGACATTTTAAAAGAGGCATTTTTTTTTTAAATTTTATTTTGATTTGGGTGAAGATTTACAGAGTAAATTCACTTTTCATACAGCAGTTCACATATACTTTGTC